AAAAAAAAGATGATAAATCGAAGATCGCCGGTTGTCGTAAGAAGCGAAGATGATAGCCGGAAGAGAGAAACCCTAATGACTGCGTGCAGGTTGCGAGGGGATTATAAAGAGGATGGAGTGGGCTATAATGGGCCTCAAGGGTTGAACCTTGTATTTAGGAAACGGATTTAACCAGGCCCATTGGCCATTGCATATGGGCTAATGACAACATTGGACTACGTAGAGACATTCCTTACTCCTTAAGAATAACTGTTATACATTAATGCTTTCGTCTGCTAAAAAGATAAAATGGGGCCTTTAGTTTTCAATTTTACTCCATCTAATATTTCTATTTAATTTTTTTATATTGAATTTATTTTACCTTAATCGTCCCATATTTTTTTCTTATATTCTTCTCTCTCCATTTTCTTCCCTCGATTTCTCCGCCTGTATCTTTTTCTTTCCATCTCTTTTCTTCTTCATCTTCTTCTTCTTCTTTTTCTTCTTCTTCTTCTTCTTACCTTGCACAATAATATTTCTCCATTTTTGTTTTTTCTCCTTTTTTTCCTCTCTGTCTCTCCTTTTTTTTTTCTCGATGATAAAATTCAAACGATCCGCTATTGAATTTTTTCTTTAATTCCTGTTGATTTTTTTTTTTTTTTCGTTTGGTCCTTTGTGAACCTCCATTGCCGAATTAAAACTCCGTTGAAGCCCACCGCTCGTGGCCATGAGCCGGATTTCACAACGCACCCGTCCAACCCAATGCCCCAATTTCTATGGGCTCAATAGCTGCGTGGGTTATGAATTTTTGCCAATGAGCAGGTTACCGAGTTTTGTGGGCCTCCATTTTTATGTTGTTTTTATGCTATTTTTGTGTTGCTTTTAGGTTATTTTTATGTTGTTTGAAAATGTTATATTGTTAATTTTTTTATATATTAATAAAATGAGTTGTTTTTGACTGATTTGTGTCTACCAACTTGTTTGGGCACTTTAATTATTATAATTTTTTTTATTTGTTATTATTAGTTTTTATGTATATCTTGCTCTTCCTTACAATGTCAAGATGTGACCAACTATCATACAACTATCCACCAAAATTGATGTATCTATTTTTTATTTTATTTTTTTCTTTTTTTGAAAAAAATTATTTCTTCTTCAAAGATGTTTTTCTTTATGTTTCGATGTCAAAGGGAAACTACAGGAACTTACCAAG